TCAGCGAGCAAGCGGGGCTCCGGAAACCAGGCTCCTGACTTAGAGAAACGTCTGTAACTTTCGAGGGCCCCCAAGGGAGCGCAGGCGGCCCATGGTGGGCGACAGTCCAGTGTTGCTTCTCTTCCCTAGAGGCCTCAAAGTCAGCCAAGGATAGCCTCGGACCAGCAGAGCGCCTCCTCCATGTCCCTGACAGGTGACCGTCTGCCTCCTCTTGGATGCCTCCACTGACAACCAGCTCACTCCCTCACAAGGTCCAAACCCCAAACTACACCCACTGCCATTGAGTCAATCCCAACTCAGAGTGACCCTGTGGAGGGGCTCTTTCCCAGGCTGTCAATCTTTACAGCACTCAGCTTCAGGGCCCCCCCCCCCCCCCAGTGGCTGGTGGGTTGAAACTGCTGAACCTGAGGTCAGCTTCCCAATTCATAGTCTGACCCCCCACCAGGGCCGCTTACCTCACAAGGCTGCCCAAACCAAACTTGCTGCCATTGAGCCGATTCTGCCTCATAGCGACCCCATAGACAGGTTATAACGGACCCTGTGGGTTTGTGAGACTGTAACTGTGTATGGGAGTAGAAAGCCCCATCTTTGTCCTGCAGAGCGGCTGGTGGTTTCGAACTGCTGACCTTGAGGTTAGCAGCCCAACTCTAACCCACTACAGCTCTAACTCACCTACACTGGGTACCATCCCTCGATTGGAATCTGGGGAAAACCCACCAGCTCACACAGATACAGCATCCACAGTAATGGGGGTGGGGGAGGGAGTAGGAGGTCTCCCCCTTGGACTTACCCAGTTCCCAGCTGTGGACTCCCTCCTGTCCTTAGGTCTGAGGAGAACTTCCCCGGAGCGTTTCTAGACACAGACGGCATCCTCCTTCTCCCCAGAAGCACAGGTGGGTTTCAACCAGCAACCTTCTGTTAGCAACCAATTGCCTTAACCACTGTACCCCTGGGGCTCCTTTCACAGCGACCAGGGACTCAACTGTGTCCCGGAAACCCCAGGGTATTTCCTGGAGTTCCTGAACAGGGTTGGACCCTAGTCCAGTGCAGGGTTTCTCAACCTGGCCACGGTTACTCTTTGGGACTGATGGTCCTTTGTTGTCGGCTGCCCTGTGCGTTGCAATATAGTAGCAGTCGCTCTGATAGTCAGATTGTCAACCACTTGATGTTGGCAGCATCACCACCTCCCTTTGTGGGCAAAATGTCTCCGGACATTGTGAACCTTTCTTTGCAGGCGGGGGTGCAGCATTACCTGGCTGAGCTCCACTGGTCTAGATGCAGCCTCTGGAAGTCTCAGATCCTGATTCTCAGGTGAGAATTCTCAGGTGATCTGAGCTGTGGTGGCTGTGCGGGTGGGCGAGGGCACGCTCCTGGGCGGAGGGAATGAACGCTCGAGGCTGAGAGCAGCCTCTGGCCTGCATGGTGACTGCAGTCCCTTCTTGTGCAGCGTCACCCCCCCACCCTCCCATCCTCAGGCAGCCCTGCCCATCACGCAAGCAGGAACTGGAGGCGTCTTGAGATTTTTTTCTCAGGGAACAACCACCCCTCCCCAGACCACAAGTCAGCTACGTTGGTGCATCTGACGCCCAGGCCTACTCCCAACCTATTCGGTGCCCTGTTAACTTGCAGTTCCATGCTTCTAGAAACGAGAAGGTTCTCATGCTTCAGTTATCCCTAGCAGGAGGTCCAGCCCCTCGGAGCAGAGCAATACCTTCTGGCTAAGGTGCTCCCCTTTCCACCCCACAGCCTATAGGAGGGCTCTGTTGGAAGTTTCCCTGCCATCCAGTCACATCCGTCCGACTCATAGCGCCCTTATAGCGCAGGGTCGACCTGCCCCAGGGGGTATCCAGATGGTCACTCTTGACGAGCTACAAACTATGCCTCATTTTTCTCCCGCAGAGCGGCTAGTGGTTTCTTTCTTTATTTATTTATTTATTTATTTTTATTATTTTTTTTTATAATCAATTTATTGGGGCTCATACAATTCGTCACAATACATAGATCAATTGTGTAAAGCACATCTATACATTTGTTGCCCTCATCATTCCCAAAATTTTCTTGCCTCTTGGGTTCCCGGAATCCGCTCATTTTCCTTTTTTTTAATTTTCCCCCCCTCCCCTTCCCTTTCCCCCATGCACCCTTAATAATTTAAAAATTATTATTGTATCTTATATTACACTGTCCGGCGCCTCCCTTCACCCACCCCGCTGCTGCCCGTCCCCCAGAGAGGAGGCCATATGTGGCTCCCTGTGATCCATTCCCCCTTCCTACCTCCCCTTTCCCTCCTGATATCGCCCCCTTCACCCCCGGTCCTGAGAGGTTCTTCCGTCCTACATTCCCTGCGCTTCCAATTCCCCTCTGTACCGCTGTGCATCATCTGGTCTAACCCGGTCTGCAAGGCGAAACTGGGGTCCTGGTAGTTGGGGGGAGGAAGCGTTTAAGAACTAGAGGAAGATTGTGAGCTTCATTGTTGCTATACTGTACCCTAAGTGACTCATCTCCCCACTACCCCTCTGCAAGGTATGTCCAGTTGTCTGGAGATGGACATTGGGTCTCCATCGCGCACCACCCTCATTGACAAGGATATGACTTTTCTCCCTGCCTTTGGTGTTTAAAGGCTGGTCCCTTTGGCCCTTCATGATCACACATGTTGGTGTGCTGCTTCCATGTGGGCTTTGTTGCTTCTGGGCTAGATGGCCGCTTGTTTACTTTCAAGCCTTTAAGTCCCCAGACGCTATAGGTCTCGATAGCCGGGCACCATCAGCCTTCTTCACCACACTTACTTATGCACACATTCATCTTCAGCGTTTATGCGTGGAAGGTGGTCACACAGTGATGGTTTTTGTTATTTGGTGTCTGCTTTCTGTTCCCTTCAGCACGTCGGGTGCGGCTAGTGGTTTCTAACGGCTGACCTTGCAGTTAGTAGCCCCACGTGTAACCCAGTATGCCACCAGGGCATAGACACTTAGTGGGCTCTGGCTGGCTGAATAAGACTCATTTGTCACCGAGGAGAAATGCTGCTTGGTGTCTGACTTCTGTGCCATTTTGAGGGGTTTCCCTGGGTCGTGATGTAAGAATTTGAGCCTGGAGTGTTGTGTTAAGTCATTAGGTGGCATGGAGTGGGTTCTGACCCATAGGAGCCCTGTGCACAACAGAACAAAATACTGCCGTATCCTGCACCATTCTCATCACTGTTCCCGTGCTTGAGCCCATTGCGTCAACACAGGCACTGTGTCCATCCGTCCTGCCGAAGGTCTCCCTCTCTCTCTGCCCCTCCACTTGACCAAGCATGAGGTCCTTCTCTCCTGACTTGTCCAAACTAGGTCACACAGTCTCACCATCCTTTTTTCTAAGGAGTACCCGGCCGTACTTCTTCCGAGATAGACTTGTTTGTCCTTTTAGCAGCCCATGGTATTTTCAATATTCTTTTCTAGGACCACAATTCAAGCGCATCAATTCTTCTTTGGTCTTCCTTAGTCAACATCCAGCTTTCACATGCCTAGAAGGCAATTGAAAGTACCATGGCTTGGGTCAGGCACACCTTAGTCCTCAAAGTAACATCCTTGCTCTCCCAGACTCTAATGGGGTCACGTGCAGCCGGTTTACCTAATTTAACATGTCTTTATCTTTTGATTGCTGCTTCCATGAGCATCGATTATGGATCCAAGCGAGACAAAATTCTTGACCACGTCAATCTTTTCTCCATTTTCCCTGATGTTACCTACTGGTCCATTGTGAGGATGCTGGTCCCTTTACACTGAGTTATACTCCATCCTGAAGGCTGCAGTCCCTGATTTAAGATGAGGGTCCAGATTTTCCTTCCTTCATAGAGTCTGTACAGTTTGTGACACCAGTGAGGCACAGGGAGGTCTGGAGTCCTGCCCTGGATTGTGCATACGAGTGGGTGTAAGTGACAGAAACTCCTGGCTGCAAGTGGCTTGAGAACCAAGGAAAAGGGTTTCTCACATCGCCGGAAGCTCAGTGCCGTGCATTCTTGACTTAGGACAGCATCCGCTAACTATGTGGTGGCGCCTCTTGGCTGGGACTCTGGGCATGACTTAGCTGAGTGCTTCTGCTTCAGAGGCCCTCACCAGGCTGCATCCAAGTTGCTGGCAGGGCTGAGGTCTCATCTGAAAGCTTGACTGGAGAAGGATCTCTCTCCATGTTGGCAGGGCTCAGTTCCTTGAGACTTACTAAACAGAAACACCTTAGCTCCTTGCTGGCTGGGGGCAATCCTCGATGCCTGGGCATGTGGGCTCTGAGGAGGCTGCCTCTTACTCCCAAGTGTCCAAGGTAAGAAGGTAACAGAGACAGTCTGCTAGCAAGCTGGAACCTCACACAGCCTCATCATGGAGTTGACATGTGTCACCCGGCCCTGTTCTCCTGGTTTGTAAATGACTGGTCCCATGTACACTCCAGGGGACGACAGTCACTGGAACTATCTTCTCAAGAAAACCTCCAAGGCCACTGAGTCTATGTGGACTTTGTAGACAAAGTAGAACTTCCCCTGTGGATTTCCAAGACTGTCAATCTTTACAGGAATAGAAAGTCTCAACTTTCTCCCTTGGAGTGGCTGGTGGTGTTGAACTGCTGACCTTGTGGTTAGCAGCCCAACTCGTAACCCAGTATGTCATCCGGGCTCCTTTGGAACCGTCTTAGAAGACAGACTCCAAGTACAGAGCGATTAGGGCAGTGGTTCTCAGCCTTCCTCCTGCTGCCACCCTTTAACACAGTTCCTTATGTGGTGGGGATCCCCCAACCATAACGTTATTTTCGTTGCTACTTCATAACTGTAATTTTGCCTCTGTTATGAATTGGACGACCCCTGTGAAAGGGTCGTTTGAGCCCCAAAGGTGTCGGGACCCACAGGTTGAGAACCACTGCATTAGAGACTTGGTGCCTCTATCTGCCGGGACCTCCTTTGTGTGAATTTGCATTGCATTCTGGTTCTCCAGCATTCCCAGATGGTTGCCAACGGCAATTGGGAGCATGGTTTCTGGATCCAGCCTGCAGGAACTGGGAAACATCTCTCCTAAGCCTGGGATGGGGTCCATATGGCCCTGATGGGCCTGCTGAAGTCCCAGTCACCCGGAGAACCGTATCACGGATGGGGAGGATCCATGCTTTATGCAGGGGTTAGGGGTGACCTTTTCCTGGTTCATTTAGGGGAGAGGTGGAGACCTGATCAGAATCTGGTGGTGTTATGGGTTCAGCTGTGTCCACCCCCTCCCCACCCACCCCCACCCCCCACCCCCCGCAGAAAAAAGACTCTTGAGGTCCTAACTCCTGTACCTGTGAATGTCACCTTATTCGAACACAGAGTCTTTGAAGATGTAATCAGTGAACATGAGATCCTACCAGGGTAGCATGGTCCCCCATCCTGTCAGACCGGTGTCCTTCTGAAAGAAGAAGAACACAGAGACACAGAGATGCCCAGAGTGAAGATGCCCAGGTGAGGATTCCTGTATGGCCTAAGAACAGCCGGGGTTCCCTGGAGCTGAGGGAGGCACAGAAGGACTGTCCCCTGGAACCCGCAGCGGGGACATGGCACCTCCCACACCCAGAGGGGCCTCTAGAACGCTGGGACAATGGCATTTCCTCTCCGCAGCCCTAGGAAAGTCAGACTGTTGAGAAGGAGGAAGAACAGAAAAGCCGGGCGGAGGGACTGACCCAGCGGCTGAGCCGGTGGCCCCACGGAGGGCAAGGACCGCCCATGACAGAAGGTGGGCAGAGGCGTCTGGCCTCCAGGAGTGGCTCTCTATGTTTCGTGACCATTTAAATCCACTCTCTTTGAGCACAAAACAGAGCCGCAGAGCCGCTAGTGATACAATGAAACCACCAGGAAGCCACCCCGACAGACAACTCCAAAGCCAGTCCTGGGCGGTGCGAGTACACCCTCCACCCCACCCCACCAACTGGCTTTTTGCCTTGCCACTGTGAAGAACAATGGGCCCAGAATGGGCTGAGACGTGGTGGCTGGGGGAAGGGGTCCCCACGTCCCCAGAGGGCTACTCAGTCACCATGTCAGTTCTGCTGCGTCGTCTCAGGGGCCAGAAGGAGTGAGACCCCCTTCCCCAAAGCCGCCTCAGTACCCAGGCAGAGTGCAAGCCGGCCAGGCATTTCCATCGGCCCTAACCAGGGTTCACTTCATGGCCTCCCCACTGCCCGCAAGAGACCACGTCACCGGAAAGGGCCGAGAGGACAGTGCAGAGTGTACCTGCGAATCTGCTCCCAGAGCTCCCTGACCTCCAGCCCTGTTTTCTGGGGGTTTCTGTGTTTCTGCGAACTGTGAGGGTTAAGCAGAGTCACCTGGGAACAGAAACTTCTGGCACAGAGACTTCCCTTGGCAGGGGACGGCTCGTCTTTCCCCCACCTCCCATGCCTAGGGGAGAGTGAAACCCTCTCCACTGTGGCGACAGAGGACCCCACGGGTCTAGGACCACAGGCACATTACCTAGGGGAGAACACTGGTTTTGACAGTGTTTGGAACAAAAAGCAAACCTGACGGGGTCGTCTTGTTAACAAAGCTCAGTTGTAATGTTGACTAGAAAAGACTTCCGGCGGATTGAACACTGAACTGTGGCCAGCTGTGTGGTCGCCTCTCGGAAGTGCCCACATTGGAGGGAAAGAGAGAACAGCGATTGTGAGGTGGGCACAGGACCAGGCAGTGTTTGGTTCTGCGGGGCGCAGGGTCACAGGGAGTCGGAACTGACTCCGTGGTTCCTAACAGCAGCAGCAGCAAGACGATCCACGTGCACAGAGAACTGACCAGAGACCAGAGACCGCAGACCAGGACGTGGGGGTGGGGGCCGTGGACATGCTCGTGGTCTTGGCAGCTGGCCTTGGCTCACGGTCACACGGCAACAGAGCTGTTGTCTGGGCGACTGAGATGATCTCCATGCCGTTGCTCACACTTGCTCCTGGGCCTGCGGGTCTTGGGCCCCGCCCGCTGTTGCTGCGGGCAGTGTGCTTGGCCAGAAAGAGCCCCCTGACTGCTTGTGGGGAACCCTGATTTGTTGCCCTCTCACTTCTCCCTTTGGGGAGGCGACTTCCTCCAAACGTTGAGTGTGGCACCTCCAGCCTCCTTCTGCGTGATGTGAGCCAGTTCCCTTGAACTCACGGGAAGCAGCAGGCTGGGCAGAGCACAGGACCTCGGCTACCACAGGGGTCATGTCGGCCACAGTGCCGGCCTGGGCCCCTGCGTCCTCCAGGGCAGAGTCTGCAGACAGGGGTGCAGTCAGGGGGCGGCTCCCGGACCCCTGGGTCAGAACACCCCAACGTGGACTCGCTTCCTCCAAGAGCTGCCCTGAGGGTGCTGGGTGCTGGGACAGAGGCTCGGCCGCTCCACAGCCCACGGTGCAGGTCCCGCCTCAGCCCCCTCTGTTCTTCCCTGTTTTCTCTGTGGCTGGAAAAACAACAGACACCGTTTCTAATAAGTAATTCTAAACTCGATCTCTCGTCTCAGGGAAGGGTCCCTGGTGGCGCAGTGGTTAAAGTGCTGGGCTGCTAAGGTAGCCCAAGGGCCGGCACTTCTAATCCACCAGCCGCTCCATGGGACCAAGAGTCGGTGGTCGGCTTCTGTGGCACTGGACAGTCTTGGGAACCCTACGAGTCAGGCCGCCTCGTTCTCCAGAGTGCTACGAGGTGGCGCCACTCAAGGGCACTGCATCTGAACCTCAGGAAATCATCATAGAGAAGAAAACTAGTCACCCGTCCAGAGGTTCACAGCTCCGCTACGTGCACTAGGAAGCACAGAGAAAGGCCGATGTCTAATCGGAGGGACGTTTGCTATGGAAGTGGTCACATGTCCCCTAGTGACTCTTACCACGTAGTCTGTCAACTGGACGGATCTGCCCCAAAGACCTCGTTAGTGTGTTACAGAGCAAAAATGGCACTTTGAACGCTAAGGTGCCTCTGACCCAAGAGACCGTATTTTCTTTGTTTGTTTTTTTAAGATCATTTATTGGGGGCTCTTACAGCTTTTAAAACAATCCATACATCAATTGTATCAAGCATATCTGTACATATGTTGCCTTCATTTTCTAAACAAGACACAGTATTTCCAAGCACCGTGTATTCATATAGGAGCCCTGGTGGGGTAGGAGGTTACTACTTGGGGGTGCTAATTGCAAGGTCAGCAGTTCCAAGCCACCTGCTGCTCTGTGGGGGAGAGACAAGGCGTTGTACTCCCATAAAGAGTGACAGTCTCAGAAACCCACAGGGTCGGTTCTTCCCTGTCCTCTAGGGTCACACTGAGTGGGAATGGGCTCGATGGAGGTCAGCGAGTCACACATGGGGAGCCGACACAGAATGAGGAAGACCACCAGAGAATCGATTTCTTTGGATGATGGTGTTGGCGAGGAATCGGTACCATGGACGGCCAGCACAAACAGATCTATCTTGGAAGCGGCACAGCCCAAATGCTCCTTGGAAGCAAAGGTGGTCAGACGTTCCACTGACGTTGGACATGGTATCTATCAGGAAAGAACAATTCCTGGAGAAGGACATCAGGCTTGATAACACGGCGTGTCAGCCAGGGAGACAAAGACCCTCCCCCTCAGGGAAAGGAATGGACGTTGTGGCTACAACGATAGGCTGGCCCATCACTACCATTTCGAGGACGGCACAGGTCCAGGCAGGGTTCCTTCTGTTGTGCACGGGTCTCCTCCCCCAGCTGGATGGCATTGGGTTTGGTTTAAGAAGACTTCAACTCAGGGAGTTTTTTGGTTTAAGGTTGAATGACAATTTAAGGACCATCGTTTTGGGAGGGCATCCAGCCTCCATGGCTCCGAAAAGTTGGCCTTCCTGCATGGGCAAGGGTGCGGTTGGGGTGGGGGTGCTGCAATTAGAGAGCACTGGTAGAGCGTGGTGGGCTGCTCATCAGGCTGCTAACCGCAAGGTCGGCTGTTTGACTCCACCAGCCTCTCCTTGGAAGAAAGAGGAGGCTCTCTACTCTTGTAAAGAGTTACAGTCTCACAAACCCACAGGGGCAGTTCTGCCCTGCCCTCTAGGGTTGCTATGAGCAGAATTGGCCCAATGGCTGTGAGTTTTGGATTTTTTGAGGCACGTCATCATGATGAGGAAGGAGAAAAGGGCATTGTGGGAAATGCCAGTGGACTTTTGAGACTGGCCATCCAACACCAATACCAAATCCGATGCCCTTGGGTCATTTCTGACTCACAACGACCCTGCAGGGCAGAGCAGCACTGCCCCGTAGGACTGTCATCTCTATGGAAGCCGATGCCTCATGGAGCCTTGGGCAAGTGCAAACTCATGGCCTTGGGGTTAACAGCCAAGTGCTTAACTATTGCTCCACTAGAACATCTTGGATAAGCCAGGGACCTTTTTTTAATAGATAGCAATCTTATTGGCCATTATGAACATGGTTTAAAAAATACACTTATCTATGAGCTGTTGTTTACAATTTAAACAATGTCATTCGGGCAGGAAAGTGAAAAGACAAAGGATTTCCTTTACGTTGGTATTTTTAGTTCGATCACTTTTCTTTATAGACACACAGATAGTGATTGCTTTTTGAACGACTTAAGTTGTAG